GCATACTTGGATAGAGTAAGGGCTGTCTCTTTTGGGATGGGGAAGGAGGAAGTTTCAGATTTGAAAAAGGTCTCAGGGACATATTTTTAGCCTTTTTATCTTTCTGTGAAGAATTCCAGGTTTTTTTTCTGATCTGTTTTCTAGATCTTAAATTTTCTATTCAGCTGTGTCCTGTACACTTAAACCCACCTATGGAGTCTGTAATGTCAGTTATTTTTCATGTCTAGTTTGATTTTTTTTCAAATGTGCTCAGTTGTTCCCCATCCCCTGCAGATATTTTAGCGGTAGTCTTTTATTTCTTTAAATTTGATAAACATATTCTTGTTACAGTCTTTCAGAAAATCCCACCATCTGAAGTCTATTTGGGTATCTCTCTGTTGCCTTGTTCTGCTGTTCTCACTCAGGGTGCCTTGTATCTCTGTGTGCCTAGTTATTTGCTTGCTCTCATTCCTTTTGTAGTTCTCTGAGGCCTGGGATGAATAGATTGTCATTCATGCTATCATTAGAAAGTATTACAGTTTTACAATTGCTTCAAAGCTTGAGTTTCCCTGGCCTACCTAGGCTATGTTTACTTAGAGTACAAATATGCATGAGGCTGAGTCTATAGCCACAACTTTTCAGAGACTTCTCCCCTCACTCATGCTCCCCTCTACGTTCCCCTACCCTCTTTTTTCTTCTGCTGCTCTGCCCATTGCCAAGGTAGCTTGCTTTATAGTCCTCCTCCCACGTGAAGATTTCTGAATAAGATCAAGAGACTGAAGCTATGTATAAGACATCTATTTGCATCTTTCCCCTAAATCAAGTTGAACTGTTAAAAATCTCTTATTACTAATTAGCAGGCTAGGTTAAGTAAATAAAAGTTTTCTACTTAGTAGTGAGACAGCTATTCCTCCCTAATTTATTCATTGATGCTTGAACATAATGGGAGTATCATTACATTAATTACACAGAATGAGTCTGGCTTCTATGCAAAAGTTTCAGTTTACATAAGGTGCTTCATAGATCGATTTTTAAAAGTTAGTCTTGTATCCAGTGACCTTGATAATTCACTTGTTAATTCTTTATTTGTGGATTATTTTGTATTTTCTATAAATATAATTATCTGCAAATAAAAAAATGCTTTACTTTTAATTTTTAACTATTACGACTTTTAGTTCATTTGCATCACTTACTGACCTTCAATATTGTGTTAACAGAAGTGGTGATAGTACAAATCCTTGCATTTTCCCCCCATGCTGAAGTGGAAATATTTAATTTTTCAACATTCAGTATAATTGAATACACTGTTAAAAGTAGGTTTTTT